CTGCCCAAATCCTGACTCTTAAGTCAGCTGGGCGGTGTGTAAATAGTTCCGCGAATCGTGCACTGTTTGAACGGGGTCAAAATTCCAAGATGCTCATTAAACCTCGATGCGCAATCGATGATCACTACCTGCGTGTGTATCGTTCATACGCCTCTTCTAGGTCGTCTCGGGGTTAGGTGTTTTAGCCAACTCTTAGATGAACTGCCAATGGTTTACCAACCCAATTATAGTACCGAATTTTGGCTTTTCGTCCTCACACTCTAGTGAGAAAACATCCTCGCCACGTAAATGCGATGTCTGTTTAAGACCCTCGATCATTGAGGTGCATTCTGCGAGGACCAGTCACAATCAGAGATACTGACCCCTGACCATACTCAGGCTTATGGAGGCTGACCATGATAGCAGATCGACACGGAACGAGCCCTGGTAACCGGTCATGAAATTAGCAGTGTTCGTTGGATGGTGTTGATATTCTATTGCGTGGATTTCCATCCCCACATAATCGTTACTTCTCATCTTTCTCAAGTCACTTAATTCCAAAGCTCCTCCTTTAGATTATTCTTATCTTTTTTTAACAAGTTATGGTTTTTTTAACAAAGAAATACAGAAAACAGAACGCGGTTGTTTCTGGATACTATTTCGGTGATGAACCGGTGGGAGAGGCAGTCGGTATGAGGCGTTTGGCTGTTTGGTAGCCAATCGATCCTCGAAATTGCTCTGCTCATCATACATATTCCAGCCTCTAAACTGTCGACTAGTCAAGGTCGACCCACACCGATCTTTACAACCGTAGTCTACCGGATCTCTCCATTTTCTCTTGCTTACACTGTTTCGAATAATCCAATCTACCTTCGACCGCTTCGTAAAAATGGACAGTCACCAAAACCATCGCACAAAAGTACATGGTTAATGGTTGCAGTGACTAATACACTGTTTGATTGAGTAACAGATCGATATCACTATGCAATTTCTGTTGAAACCTGCCCGTTTCAGCGCTGTTTCAGTACTGTTTATGGGTTTTTGCAATCGTTGTGAGATTTGCCAATATCAGTGTTTTTGCAAATAGTAGTCAGTTTGTGACAGTCACGTGCTAATCAAAAAGGAGTGTTCACTCAGGTCGCGCTCATTTCTTTCAAGCCATACAATTTCTGGCATCATACTCCGTCGATTGTGTGGCGCACGTGAACGGTGCACGCGTGAGAACTAGGCTGGTCTTAGATCTGGTCGAGGTTGTATCGACCACATTTTTACCCTTCATCAAATTCTGTAGCACCGACATTCTTTTCGTAGACCCACCACCTCTGTCTTCCACGATTTGAAAGCGACTTTCGACTCAGTCGACCGCTCTAAACTCTGGTGCTGCCTTTCTCTGAAAGGTGTGCCCGAGAAGTTAATTTCAATATCACAATTCCTTTATACTAATAGTCGAAGCCGACTCCCAACTTACGGCACCTCTTCGCCCGAGTTCACCACGAAAAAAGGTGTTCGTCAGGGTTGCCCTCTCTCTCTCTCCTTTTCTATTCAATTTTGTTATAGATTTGATTATGGAAGCAGCCCTATCCTCGNATAGTGGCATCGATTCACTCCCAGGTGGCAGACTGTCTGATCTGGAGTATGCAGACGACATTGTGCTACCAAGTGAAAATGCAGGTAAGTTGCAAGCTTTTTTGGCAGCTTGAATGCCAGTGTAGCGATGTTCGGTATGCGTTTTGCACCTTCAAAGTGCAAAATGTTACTTCAAGACTGGGTCGGTCTAGCACCCAACCTCACTCTAATTGGGGAAGTAATAGAGCAGGTGGATACGTTTTACTATCTGAACAGCTATATCTCACCCGGTGGGCGCATCACGGATGAAGTGTCTGCTCGCATACAGAAGGTTCGATTGGCATTTGCCAATTTGAGATATCTGTGGCACCGTCGTGACATCCGGCTGTTTGTAAAGGGTTGAGTGTATGCTGCGCCAGTTCTGCTATACCGCGCAGAAACTTCATCACTAAGAAAATATGAGAAAGATAGATTATCGGTTTTTAAACATGTCTACGCAACATCACCCGAATCTAGTGAGGCAACCGGACGAGCAATGTTGAGGTGAGGCGTACAGTTTTAGACAGTCACGGTCACCCACTGGAACAAGTGGTTGATCTTCATAGATTACGTTGGTTGGGGCGTGTTACGCATGTCACCAGATAGGTTGTCACGGCGAGCGATATTCACCGATGTAGGTAGTGGTTGGAAAAAAGATAAGGGTGATCAAGCTAATACCTGGCATGAGGGTATGGAAACCCTAACCATTCGTCTGGATCACATAGATCCCGTTAGACTCCCTGGCTTGGGACCTCCGGATGATCGTACCCGACGGTTAGAGACACAGAGTGATATGGCTGAGTGTCTTAAACAGTAGCGTTTGTGGATCTTCTCAATTTATTCGCAACATTGGTCCACTGAAATTCTCAAGTTTCTCTTCGATTACACTTTAAACCTTCTTATCTTTCTCCTACCGTTCATCCAAATTGGCAGCCGAAGGACGGTAAGCAAAACCGGCGCACGATAGTGCATGGTTTGTGGTTGTACAGACTGAACTGAACTGAACTGATTCTGTAATTGGTCAGCTTTGAAAGCATTGTAAAACAGTCATTATAGTCTGCGCAATATTCATTCTCCCTATTGTGTTGCCCAACTTGTGATCTGCATAATTCCCGATTTCCAGTCTGTTACTGTCGGAAACTGCCCCGGTTGTGTTCGATCATCCGATCATGTGACTGTCTATCATCAGTTCGGTCGATGTTAATGATTGGCGCTTTATATTTGGATTGGTATAGGCAACTAGGCTTGCCGTGTGGCGAGAGAGCGAGAGAGAAGAGGGTAGTCAACAAAAAACGGTCCACAATCCGTCGCACCGGGTTTACCACTCTTTAGTGAATTCACATGTGCGTGTGTGTGTGTGTGTGTTTATGGCATACCAATGCAGTTGACTGCCCACCGCAAGTTCTACCTGCTGACTTTATCTAAGTTATAGCTGAGCTTATAATCTCAAAGCGTGAACGCTGTTGGCGTCCGTCATTCACTGATTGTACCCTACGCATGAGGAGCAGGCGAGGTTTTGCGCCGGTCGTGGATGCATCGATCGAATCTTCAACCCCCGGACAGCTGCTAGAGCACTGTCATTCCCATCATAGACCAACAGTCATTGCGTTCTTAAATATCCGCGTGGGCTCCGACTCTGTCGATAGAACCGCATTAGGGAGCTGTTTGTTGAGGAATGGATTACCGGAGAAGTGTGTCAATCCTCGAAAAGTTGTATCGTCAGGTCGGGTTAGGGCCTATGTCTAGTCTTCGCCACCTTTTGCCGTCTCCGGTGGAATTCAACAAGGCTGCCCTATATCCCCATTCCTGTTCAACTTTGTTATTGAGAATGTTCTACTATCCGGTCTAGAAAACGGTGGAGTCAAACTCCTCCTAGCGAACAGAATTCTGGATTTAGTATATGCCGGTGACATTGTCTTGTTGGATGACAATACGCAGGCAATCCAACACGCTTTAAACTTCTTGACGATATGAGTATTCATGCATGGTATTTCCGTTGTATCATGAAAGTGCAAAGTGCTTTTTCAAAACTGGCAAGAGACTTTGCCTGCACCCACGGTCAGTGGTCGGGGGGAAGTAGTTGAGAGCTTTAGGTACCTCGGTAGCTTGGTCGCAGCTGGTGTTGGTATTGGACAGGAGGTGACATCACGAATAGCGAAAGATAGAGCAGCTTTCGCCAACCTGCGACATCTGTTGCGCCGCCATGATATCCGACTGTCACTTAAGGGAAGGGTGTACGTTGCCGTAGTTCGTAGCGTTTTGCTTTACGGTTGTGAGACCTGGCCTCTCCGCGTTGAGGATGCTAATCGACTTTCTGTATTCGACCACCGATGTCTCCGAAGCATTGCTCGTGTCTGGTGGAAACATCGAGTGAGCAATGACGAGGTCCGTCGTCGTGTGTTGGGTGTGGATAGTCGTTCTCTAAAAGAAGTAATCGCTCTACACGGCTTGGTCACGTATTGCGTATGCCTGCCCATCGACTACCTTTCCGTGCTCTTTCCTCACGTGCCGGGCAAGGCTGGAAGAAGCACCGCGACGATCAGACCATGACATGGTGTAGAGGTATGGAGAAGCTGGCTTCAGCTTTTGCTTCGGTTGGTGCAGCCCGCCTCCCAGGTTGGGGCCCAAGGAATGAGGATTGTCGGTGGCTAACGACGTTGAGAGATATGGCTCAATATAGAAGTCAGTATCGCTAATGCTGTGCGGTCTGCTTATTGAAATCTCATACTCTACAAAAAAACTAAACTGAAACACAAAAAATATCCAAAGTGAATGGTGAAACACAAAAATGTTTGCTGTTTTCCATTGTTCCTGTTTGAACTTGTTTACATTCCGTACTGTATCCCAATTCATCTATTCCCAGTTATTGTTAATATTATTTAGAGGTGGCCTCGTAGCTCAGCTGATAGAGCGTGCGCTGAACAAAATCGTAGACGGTGTCTATGCGTGGGTTCGAATCCCACCGAGGCTGATGAACTTTTCACAATCTCAACATAAAACTTCAATTTGTCAAACAACAATTTGCACAATTGTTATTATTGTTAGCACCATGTTTTCAACGTTGATTCGCTTGGGCAAACTGACACGTTGACTCAAGGTGGGTACTTAAGTTTATAATGTTGTGAAATCCGACGAAAGATGTTTTCCATGGTTGACCTAAGTAGTTTCATTATTGCGCAAATATTCGCACTGAGGATGCTGTTTCATTAGTCCTAATATAGGGACGAATTTATATCCATTTATCAGTATTGATCCATAACATTCGTGATCTTTGTGTTTTTCAGTTTGCATCCGGTGTGTGTCGGACTAGTTTTCCTAGAGATTGGCAACGTTTAAGTACCTGTATTGCTCAACCATTCCTCTGTCTCTCATCCGCTTTGCATCACACCACATCACGTTTTTTTGTCCGCGATCAGATGTACAATTTCTCCCAATTCACCATCGAATTGAATGAACCGGAGCCGGATGTTGCTCCGACCGATTCTCGTCTCCGACCGGATCAACGCCTCATGGAAGACGGTCTGTGGGATCAGGCGAATGAGGAGAAACGTAGATTGGAACAAAAACAACGCACGAAACGCCACCGGTGGGAACAAGAACAAGAATCAGGTGAGACTGGGAAACGATTATGATCTTTGCAACCGAACGATACTTATATGACGCCATTCCCAATTACTCGGTGCATTCTTGTGGTCGCATATTGTGCTTTGCGAGTCCGAATCGATCTAGTGCATCACTGGACCCTTCCGCGTACATTGGTGATCCAGCGGTTTACTTTGCTAAGGCCACCTTTTTTGTTACACAACCAAGTGTGATTAACAGGCAACGGGGCGACCCACACAGTCACGGGCACCTGTTGTTTAGTGGTGGAAACCGGCAACCTAAGCCCTGGAACATGGAGTAGTGAACCACATAAGGCCCCGATAGGTTAGGTATTGAATCGGATAACAACAGAGCTGCCTACCACCAAATGCCTACACCAAATCACAATATTCAATGTGATGATGTTGTTAGGTCGCTTTTTGACACCGAAAAGAATATTACCTCGATCTCCGTTGGCATTTAAGTGGTTCTCAACCCAGTTTCCATAAAGAAATAGTAGATCAGTGACATTTAAGGGTGCACTCCGTTTCCTGTTCTTTACGCCGAAAAGTGTGATACACGAGGCATCCAAAGTGATTGTGTTCCAAGTTTATACTCCCATGCATCATCGTGTGCTTCCAGGGAAGAATCAAGTGCACTAATGTTTTCACATTCTCCTAGTTGACGAAACTCCTGGGCTCCATATAGGCGAGAGGAAACAGGTTCCGACGGAATGATGTGAATCGATCATCTTACCGCTTTACAAGAAAGGTGACAGATCCTCTTGTGAAAATCACAGAGGAATTACTTTAATCAACATTTCTTCTAAGCTTCTTGCTGGGATCTTGCTCCGTCGATTGTTTGGCGCACGTGAACGGTGCACGCGTGAGAATCAGACTGATCTTAGACCTGTTCGAGGTGTATCGACTACATTTTCACTCTTCGTCAAACTCTATAGGACACAGACACTCCTTTTGTAGACCCATCATCTCTGTTTTTCTCGATCTGAAAGCAGCTTTCGACTCAGTCGACCGCTCTAAACTCTTGCACTGCCTTTCCCTGAGGGGTATACTCGATAATTTCACTCCAACATACGATTCCTCCATTCCATCAGCCCAAACAGAGTTCGGGTTTACGGCACTTTTTCGTTCTAGTTCACTACAGAAAGTGGTGTTTTTTGAGGTTGTTCTCTCTCCTTTTCTATGCGACTTTGTTAGATATTTGATTTTGGAAATAGTTCTATCCTCGCGCGAGAATAGCGGCATCAATTTGCTCGGCTTGAAGACTGTCTGATCTAGAGTATGCAGACGACAGTGTACTATTGTGTGAAGATTGTATTGTATTGTATTGTATTGTATTGTATTGTATTGTATTGTGATAACTTCTGCAGGCATGAAGCCTACATTTCAGTTAAAAGTACACAGTTTGGGGTAAGGGGGAAAATATATATAAAAAACAATTACAATGGAAAAGAAACGGAAATTAAATCCGAAAACTGTTAACAAAGTCTGTGAAAACCTGCTCTTTGTTAACAAGAATACGTGCTAATGAGGGTACTGTGGAGTTACGATAAATGTTTATTCGAGAGGAAACACAACGATATTGTGATCTTGTGGAAGGGTGGGAACGACAGGAAGTCAAATCTGCATGTAATAGATGTGTGGAGTCCATGAGAGTCTCATGTGCAAACTTTTCACATGCATTCAAATGACGTTTGCATAGGTTAGTTACCAACTCCTTTAGCGGGATTGAAGAGACATGACTAATAATGGTTATTCCACGTCGAAGCAAATTAAAATCCTTCTTTAGGAGGCTGGGAAAAATAACTGGTGAACAGTAGAGTAAAACGGGGAAGACACACTGGTATACAAATTTAGAAATGATTGATTGTTGGATACGAAACTGACGAAGCTTGCGGATATGAAAAGAAAGTCGTCGGATCTTACTGACGATGTGTTGAATGTGAGAGGTCCAGTGAAGATTAGAATCAATAGAAACTCCCAGGTATTTGATACAATTTACTCGGGATACTGGTTCGGAGCCAATGGATACCGGTTCACTTGGGACAGTAGAGCGGGATAATGTAAAGAGATCTAGGTAAGTTTCACGCTCTTCTGGATAGTTTTGGTGCCAGCATTTTGCTTGGCTAGATCGAGGCATTTCTCCGACATCGGACCGTATCGATTCGCGTTTCTGATTCGTTTCCCAGTCCTATGGACGTTACCCCTGCGCGTTCCACAGGTAGTGTGTTTGGCCCGCAACTTTTCCTAACACTCCCAAAATGACCTACCGAAGGCACTGGGGCCAAAAGCAGATGAAGCCAAAATTTGGAATACAGTAACGCAACCAGCGGGCTCACTGGCACTCCAGGAAACGTTGAAAGCAGCTCATCTGTAGTCCATTATGAACGATATTGAATTCAATGTGCCAAAGCGTAAGGTTTCATTTCTACGACACAAGGGGCGATCTTCGTCTTTCCTCGGAAATGAACAACTGCCACCGCAAGTGAGCAGGATCTGGGCATCATCATTCAAGAAAACCTAAGCTGCTCACTCAACTGCACCCAGGTGTCCAACGCAGCTGTAAAGAATGTCGGTTTGCTTCAGCGGGTCCTTGGCCGGTTTGAGTCGGCGTTTTTCCCCCGTCTACTATCAGCATATATTCGCCCACTCGCAAAGTATACTATCCAGGCATAGAATCCATGGCTCCAACTTGATTGCAAAATGCTGGAGCGTCCACAAAGGATGGCCACCAAAATGGTCAAGGGGTTGAATTGGTGTTCATACGCAGAGAGATTGAAGTCAATGGGGTTATATTCCAATCACTACCGGCGCATCAGAGGAGATTTGATTATGGTCTACCAAATAATGCAAAACCCAAGCCATCCGTGTCGCCCGCTTCCGAAGTTATCACCCAACGTTCATCTAAGAGGACATCCATTCAAACCAGTGGTCTCAAAATGCCACTTGGAATGCCGGCGTCAGTCATTCTTAGTCAGAGTGTGTTCGATCTGGAACTCTCTCCCATCCTACGTCGTCTGTGCTTCAAGCATTGAATGTTTCAAACTGACGCTCGATGAAACATTAGCACACCCTACATTCCAACATAAGTGAAGCTGCATGCAACAGTGGAAGAAGCCCCTATCACGTGACATTTTACACAAGGAATTGTATGTATCACTGTTTTTTAACCACAACACGAACCTATGGGACGAGAAAAGCATGAGCTTGTAAGTCATTCCCATAATAAATCTTTGATCTTTGACCTTCAAAATGTAAAACAGTGGTATAAGACTGGGTTGGTCCAGCACCCAGCCTCGCTCTAACTGGGTAAGTAATATGGCAAGTGGATAAGTTTTTTTATGCGTGTAGCGATATCTCACCTGGTGAACGCATCACGGATGAAGTATCAATCGACCTACAGAAAGCCAGATTGACATTTGCGAACTTGAGATATCTGTGGCACCCTCGTGATATTCGGCTGTCCCTGAAGGGTCAAGTGTATGCCGCGGCAGTTCGACCAGTTTTGCTATATGGAGCAACAACTTGGTCATTAGGAAAACAGGTGTTTGAATACCGCTGTCTACGCAGTATTGCAAACTAAGACCTGGCACGATGGTATGATAACCCTAACCAGGAAACTCGATCATATAGGTCACGTTATAGGCTCCCTGGCTGAGTGTAGTGAACAGTAATATTCGTGTATCGTCTCAATTTCCTCGCAACCTTAGTCCAGTGAAATTCTCCATTTTTGTCTTTGACTCTATTCTCAATTTGTCTGTTTTTCTCTAACTACTTCATCCAAATAGGCAATGAAAAGACAGCACGAAAGTGCGTGCTTAATGGTTGTACGAACTGGTGAACTGAATTGGTGAATTTTTTCATTGAACATTAGATAGATATACAGTCATGTGCTGAACTCACGCGTATCCGCGTTAATGTCACCATTTTGAAAAATAAAATAAAACTTTTTTGTGTTCTGTACGATGGCCTCCTGGTGCACAAAAGTCCCGGCTCTTCTCATTCTACATGCAGTAGTTCGAACTTGACCCCGAGAATTCTTCACATCATTAGACTGCGGATTATGGAATGATGAATATGTCCTTCGGATTCTCTGTAACTGGTTTTCTCATTTTTATCTAAAATTTGTGGTTATTATTATCATCATCATCGTGTTGGAACCGCACTTGTTTCACAACCCGGTGAATCAGAATCTCTGCAAAAAGTCAGCTTTTTTTCTCCGATCCTTTATCCAATACAAACAACCTTCTCGATCATTTTTTCTAATTATCCAAACGGGATAATTTTCACCCGGTATGCTTCGAAGTCATTATGTCTTGTACCTTCTTTCTTCATTCATATGTGTGCTGTAGGCTGGAGTTGGGTAATCTATTTCCGCGAAAACATTATCCCTCATTTCACATTTTTATTATGATTAAAGTACGAAGCTGATACACTAATTGAATCTCATAGGATCTGTACACACACACGGATAACGTTCACACACGTTTTCTGAACAGTTGGATGCAGTTCATTGTTTCATCTGGCCGTGACTTGAATGATTCGATGATGGTTGGAGCACAAACAATTTGAGGTGGAAGAGTTCCAGTTGTGTGCGGTTGAAAGAGTGACGCCTGCCGTCTAGGCAACTATTTTGAAGAAAAAGTTTAAACGGCTACTCCCTGAGGTGAACATTCCGGCGTAGTGTGAGTAGGGTACTACACGGGCGGTAACGTGGATTTACTATTTGATATACGAATCCGACGGTGTTCAGATGAACAGAGTCCGAGAATATGCAGCCTTTCACCGCAGGTTTTGAAGGATGAGTAACCGTCACTTGGAATGAATGACAGTTCGCGAACTACGGACTGAGGAGTCTACTACTGTCATCCGAAATAACAGAGATCAAATCCCTCTTTGATTCACTGTGGCTCTTAATAAATGAACAAACAAAAGAAACCAATTTCATCAGATTTTCTGAACATAGCTTAGGTCGACTGGGTGCATAGGCTCACACAAACACACACGCACACAGCTCAGTTAGTCAATCAGTCAGTCAGTCATATTTCTCGTTGGTTTTCTTCAACTCATCTGCGATCCATCTAATTGTGCGTCCGGGTTCTCTTTTCGACTGTATTACAGTCCGGTTCTACTTGGTTGCTGTTTGTTTTTATTCTAACCCTAACTATCGATATGACTATGGTGTTTTTTATTTACTTTGTCGAATTCTTGATTGCAATTGAAGTTGGCTTGTTCTCTCTATCCGTCTCTCGTTTCTGAAAAACTGTTTTCATACTTTCATTAATGTCTCTCAATCTCTCTCTCGTTCAATCCCCTCGCCTTTCCANCCCGCCCCCCCCCCACCGCGCGAATAGGATTGGGACCAAAACAACCGTTGTTCACCCCGGTCTGGTTTGTGACTCAAAAAGACCCAGTGACCGGTGAGGAATCGCATGTGTACAAAGGTAACTACTGGGAAGCGAAGAAAGCTCAAGACTGGTCTGCCTGTCCGGATATTTATTGAACATCTTCTGTGGTTCTGTCTCACACACACACACACACACACACACACAAATCCGAACTCACGGAGGATCGTGAAGCCACGAACGAACTTGTGCCCGCACTTGTGATAGACAGTACGCTCTTTTCTATTGGCCGCCTAACCTTGTATGCCTTGTCAGTTTTTTGGAGCGTATATGTCTTCTGCTGGGCCTGTATAGTTGGTTTGTTAACTGTTTGTTCTGCTACCGGCATGAGTGACAAAAAAAACACCTGTCGGAGATTGGTCTCTTGCCTATTTGGCTTGAACAACTAGTAGTGCGCGTGCAACCAGTTCTTTTCCTCTTTTCCGTTCTCGTACTCTGACGTTCTAACTGATGTTCATTTTGTGACGCTCACCAGTCTTTCGTCACCGTACCTCACCAGTTCGT